CCAACTGCAAAAGGTTACATACCATTATGTAAATGTACACATACATACAACATAAGACATTCTTGGAAAGAGAAAACTATAGCAATGGCGAATACAGTGGTTGCCAGGGTATCATGGGTCGGGGGAAGAGCATGACTATACTGAGAGAGAACACAAAAGAGTTTTGGAGGTGACAGAATTGTTTTGTATCCTGATTGTGGCAGTGGTTACATGGATTTGTATGTGTTAAAATACAAAGAACTGGAATATAAAAATAAAGTTAATCTTACTGTACAATAATTTTAAAAATAAATTTTTACGAAAATGAGGAGCCGATGCAACACCTGGCACAAATATGTCCAAAAGGCAGCTAGACACAAGTTAGGAGAGTAGCATTGAGTAACTGAAATAGATTTGAAGTCACCAGTCCCTGATAGAATAATATGTAAGATCACCCTCGGATATTACTTAGAGTGAGAAAACAACCAAGAACAGAACCCCAGAGGATATCAGCATTTAAAGACTGAGAAAAAGACAAGAATCCTATAAGAGAAGATATTAGGAAACTTTTATGAGATGATGGAATAGTGCTATATACTATGATTGTGGTAGTGGTTAAATGACTACATACATTTGTCAATACCCATCATGATATACACTCAACACTGATGAATTTGATTGTATTACATTATATCTTAATAAAATCAATTTTTAAGAAAAGCTCTTGTTTGGAGACCTGGGTATGTTCTACTGTCAAGCATGTTGCTACAGACAACACTTAAAAGTAGCTCCTTCACCTACCTCGCCTACTGTACCCAGATATAACCTCAGGAATTATGGGAGAGGAATGGGGTAGGCGGAATCTTGTGAAGACCCCCAAGGTTTCTTGCCATCCCACCCCACTCCACCAGGTTTACAAATCCTACATAATCCCCATGACTGTATATACGGTGGATTTTACCCCCATAATTAGGTTTGGTTACATGGGATGACTGATGTTAAAAAAGAGAGATTATCCAGTTAGCCTGATCAAACCATTTCATGAACCCTTTAAAAGCAGGGTTTTCTCTTGCTTCTTGTAGAAGTGGCAATCAGGAGTTGGAAACATGAGAGGGGTTTGATGCACGGGAATTCTTTATTGCTGATATGAAGGGAGCCATGTGGCAAAGGCCTGAGAGTGGTCTCTCGGAATTGAGAGTGTTCCCTGGTCAAAAGCTAGACAATGGAGAGCTCAGTCCTACAGTGGCAAGGAAGTGAATCCTACCAGCACCCTGAGGGAACACTGAAGAAGATCTTGCCCTAGCTGAGCCTCTGGAAATGGACACCTTGATTTCAGCTTTATGAGATTTCAGCTTCATGAAGAGAGGACCCAATTAAAACATGCCCAATTCTTGACCCATGAAACTGTGGGCAATACATTTGTGTTGCTTTAAACCACTATGTTTATGGTAGCTTGTTACACAGCAATGGAAAATTAATGAAGGCAAATTTTAAATAGCACCTGTACCTCATCATAAAAAGTTACAATTTAGAACTTAAAATCCGTGAGGTCTCTTACACTTTCCACAGTTAACCTTAGCCCTCATTTCTATTCACTGCCTCATATTATTAGTGTATACATTCAGCATTAAATTATAAATCACTCTAGCGACAAACCGTCTGATTAAGCTTTAATTAGGTGACCTTTAATTAATTAACCTACTGCCACCAAAGTATTTAAAAAACTGCCTTGTTGTTAAATTAGTGAACAAGTAGATGCAGATACCCAAATACACTGAAAAACAGAAATTCTTCACTGTTAGCCATATCTTTCTTTCTAAGGCAAAGTTTTGTGTATACATTTAGTCATCTAGGGAATAAAGAAATTCTACATAGTTTAATAAAATGAATCTTGGAAAGTCATAAAAAATCACTGTCAAAATGCACTGATCTCTAAAGCATATTTTTCTGAGTGATAACACAACAAAACGAAAACACTAATTTCTGACTGCAAGATGGCAGAGTGACACTATTAGCAACAACGAAAGGGAGAAGGTAAAAAGGCAGTATCTTCAAAGGGGTATGGAAAAGATTTTCAAACTTAGATTTCTTTCTCCAGCCAAATCACCATTCAAGACTTAACTGCATCCATGATGGAGTAACAGGGACCAGATCTACTCTCCCACCTTGAAGAACTAAATGTCTGGAGAAAATATACAAAACATTGCTTTATCAAAGATTGGACAACAGGAAGCACAGGACAGAGATCCTTGAGAGAAGGTAACAAGTGAGGTAACCCCAATAACTGCCCAACCTATTGCCTGGCAAGTTTCCAAGCATAGGTCCCTAAACAGGGCTTAGCAGTATCCCTGAGTTAAGGAAACAGTAGTAAGAGCTTGGGAAGCTGAAGATCAGTAAAATTTAGAGTACCAAAGAAGAGAGAGCTGCACAGACAGGAGTACTGGAGATCTATAGAGAGTTTCCTCTCAGTCTCCTGCTGAGTGATAATTAGCATAATGTCAACAATACCTCAGGCCCACTTAGGGCTGGGACTATGTCATTCTTACAACAGCCAGAGTGGAAAGGCCTCCGCATCAACAGGGCATTGGGTTCTCAAGAGTGCTGCTTCGACAATGGGCCAAATAAGTTCTAGACTGAAGGCTGCTGTGGACTTGCCTAGCAAAGCTTACCAGCAAGCCTTGAAAGGCTCAAACTGTTTTAAGGAACTTAACTACATACAGGAATAAAATACTAACATATTTAAATACACACACGAGCACACAAAAGAATCTAATATACACAATGTCTGGTATCCCATCACAAATTACCAGGTACATAAAGCAGCAGGATAAGATGACCCAAATGAGGAAAAAAAATCAATCAACAAACGTAGACTCAGAAATGACAACGATAATTGGGGCTGGCCGGGTGGCTCAGTTGGTTAAGAGCTCGCTCAAAAGTGCGAGCTTTGAGCAACAGCGATTCGATGCCTGAGCCAAGCTGAGCTGCCGCTGAGCTGCCAAAAGGTGGCAGGATGGTTCAGCTAAAAAAAATTTAAAAATAAATAAATAAATAAATGACAACGATAAGAGAATTAGTACACAAGGTCATTAAAACAGCTATTATAATTATATTCCATATATTCAAGTATGTAGAGAAAAGCATATTATAAAGAGAGACATGAAAAGTATAAAAATGACCCAAATAAACTTTAAGAGATAAAAATACAGTATCTGAGATGAAAAACATATAATATCTGAATGGGATTAACAGATTATACACAGTGGAAGAAAAAAACTTATTGCACTTGAAGATATAGTAACACATTGAGGATGGGGCATTTAAATATATAGACGCAAATCTGTGTCACCAGTCCACAATGTGGTAAAAGAAGCTATCCAAAATGAAACATAGAAAAAAGACTGAAAACAAATGAACAGAACATCAGTCAGCTGTTGAGAGCATCTCCTGGTCTAATATATGCATACTGAGCATCCTAGAAGGAAAGGGAGAACAGAGAACATTTTTAAAAAAATAATGACTGAAATTTTTCCGAATTTGATAAAAATTATAAACCCACAGATCCAAGAAGCTCAATGAACCCCAACAAAATAAATATGAAGAAGGCTACTAAGCTACAGAGTAAGTAAATCACTTCCAATGATAAAGAGAGAATGTTAAAAGCCATCACAGAAAAAAACACAATACATATAGAGAAAAGTGATAAGAAGGACAGGAGACATGTCAGGAGATAGGTGGAGTGATATTTTTAAAGTTTGTTACCGGGGGAACAAAACCAAAAACTTTCCATCTACAATACTACATCCAGCAAAATTTTTTTTCAAAAAAGGCAAGAAACTTTTTCAGACATACAAATGCAAAGCAAAATCACAGCAGACTACCACTACAAATTATCATTTAATAATGACAAAATAAAGACGTTTCCCAACAAATCTTAGAAAGTTTCTCTCCAAAAGGATTACCACAAGATATTCTCCAGCATGAAGAAAAATAAACTGAGAGAATAATGAACAATGCTGAGGAAAGAAATCTTTAAATCTTGGTAATTCTAATAATTGTTTTAAAATATTTTAAATTAAAATCTGTAACTAAAATTTTAGACGCTATTAACATGGGATGAATGGGTCAAGGGAAGATGCTGGAGGTTCTCTTCTACTATCTACAGGGAGGATACAAACGCAGATTAACTACAGATATTACAAAAGCATAAACTGATGTGTGTTAAAAATATAAACGGTAACCATTAAAAAATATAGCTATCTTTCTATGACATTATTTCAAAGCAAAAATATCCTAAATTGGAATAATCACATTAATCAACAAAGATACCATTTATAAACTTGTATAGGTGTATCTAATCAAAATATATTACCTTATAATGGTATGATGCTTTATGGATTGCTGAGCTGATTAGAAACAATTATCAGATGTTTTGTAGACAAAAGGTCAAAAGGCATTTGCGCGCCTCTCTACAAGTCAAAACTATTAAGAGTTTTTACTGAAATGATTATCTAAAAACTGTTAATATTTTCTTGGCTACATGACCTAATTTAGTTAACTGGCATAGAGGCTTTAATATACTTTTGTTTCTAATTTGCTTTTGAGTATATGAGTAATTACACATATATTTATCCAAATGATTATTTCTCAGATTTTTTAAAATTCTCTGCTCCTTTAAAGTATTTAAAACCAAAGGTATATGGGGAAAAAAATAACAAGCAATGTAAGAACTTATTTACTCAATATAAATATCTGGGTTGCTAGATCTACTTCAACTCTTTTTAAAGGAAAGATACAGCTATGAACTTACTCCCAATTAACCAAACCAACAATAAAATTTTACTCCTGGTATAAAAGATATAGTAGAAGAAGGGTTAAGATATATCACAACTTTATACTCTTTAATTGTTTAGAGTAAATGTTTGTAGAAGATTACAGTTCTTTTCATTTATACCTACCTTATTCCAGACCTTTACTTTCAATATTAGTATGTTTAAAAACCTCAACAAATAAAATCATACCATATGTCCTTCGGCTCGAGCTTTATTCTGCCTTGCTTCCTGTTTTCGCTGTAGAAACTCTTCCACTTGTTTAGCTCTTTCCACAGCTGCCTGCCCCTTTTGCCTGAGTAATGTGGACAAAGAGCAAAGTCAGAAATTCTGAACATTAAATATCCAGAAAGTTAAAAATTATACTTATTCTAAATATTGTCTTTGTTGCCGAATGAAGAAAGGCTGATAAGAAATAAAAACTTCCTCTGTAATAAATGCCTACCGTATTTGCCGGCGTATAAGACGATTTTTTGGCCCTGAAAAATATGCCTCCAAGTGGGGGGTCGTCTTATACGCCAGGTACACTTCAGATAGACTGCCCATATAACAAACTCTGTATTTTGAGTGGAAATGTTAGGGGGTCGTCTTATACGCCCAGTCGTCTTATACGCCGGCAAATACGGTACATATATATTAGTACCTACTACCTAAATCAAACTCTTTACTATTTTAAATAGAAGTAAAATTGACTACTCCAAATCTTAACAAAAACTTACTCTTATATTTATTTAATCTATTCTACTTACAGATGCATAAAATTATTTCAGACTATACTTAATTACAGAAGAATTTCAATAGTTTCCAAGGAGTTAAGCTTATTTCAGAACTCTGTATAAAAAAATATATAAAGATCCTTCTGTAATCAGTACTGAAGTAAAATTAAAGCAGTATAGTAGAAATTTCAAAAATGAACAAAACGAATCAAAAGTTTGTGTAAAGTTTCAAAACTACAGTAAAAAGCAATGTCTGAATTCCTTAGACTATCAAAACTATTAAAAAATAAAATAGGGGAAAACAGCACAGTTATTTGTTTTAATCTTTTCCAATTATATTTCTGTTTCTTTCTCTCACAATTATGAAAGAATGCAAACATGATGCATCTAGACTAAAAATAAAAAAATATCAATAACAAACATTTATGGAACATCTAATATTACTGTGCCTATTACCATGCTAAGTATAGAAGACACAAAAATAAATATAACCCAGCCCTAGTAATCACAGAACTCATAGCACAGTATCAACTGCAGTTAATTTTGAAGGTGAGGAACAAAAATTAGCAAGTTATGGTGTATGATTTGGGCTACTAAGGCACACAAACTTCCTACAGCCTTTCTTTAGGACCATAACTAAGTTATGCTCTGAAAAATGCATGAAATAATGCCTTTTCTGTCTTCCAGTAGGTTTAACCACATCTGGTTTTTATGTCCAAAATGATAATTTCTTTTATATGTTTTGGTAACCACTAACCGAAACATAAAAATATTTTAGAAATTAAATTAAGCTGTAAAAATTGAAAATCTGTTTCACCACAAAACTATGAATAATTGTGGCCTAAGGTTCATTTACCTTTATCTTATGCGGTACTTAAAAGATATTTTTGTAAAATTTCCATCACTGGAATTTTCTAGATAATCCCGATAGCTGGTTAAGAGTCTTTTATTATGACTGTCAGATATGTCTAGGAAGCTAAATCTTAATCTTTACTTTCACATCACCAAATTTAGAAATACTTTCCACCCAAGCCACTGTAGTTTGAGTAGATCAAGAATAATGAATGAAAAATAGCTCTATACTCTGTAGTGCACATGTGCTATCCTCAAACAGCCATATTATACACTGTATAACTCTGAGATTAATAAGGTACAACTGGTCTGGATGCAATTTACGTCCTTCATATACCCAGGCAAGGCTCTATCCTGGTCTGCTATAGCCCCATTTTTATAAGGCTGGGCCTGAAAAGGGCAGACAAACTTTCAGAAGGTATGGTGCTAAGACATGTCATCTAAAACTGTATGTGTACTGGAAAGGCTCTTTTAGGAAGTCCTGGAAGCTTACACCACCACCTATAATTATATAAAATTGCTGATCTCTCTTCCTTCTCAAACCTTTATAGAAGTCAAATGTGCTTGATTTCCCATCCTAAGATACTATATTCAATGTCTGTCAGCCTGAACCTCCAACTGATATGTTAATACAACAGTTGCACAGAATTATTTACTAAAAACCTGGTCATATGTATAACAGCATAGATTTACAGATTTTTCACACCATTTATGTATATATAATACTACCTGCTCTATTTATATGATTTGTAAGTGTTGCTTCACTAAATAGCCTTTAACTTAAGCTGGCTTAAATAAGCAGGTTTACATAACTGACTGCTATCAATCACAAACTTAAAACTTGCAGCAGTTTTTGCTTAGCACTGTTTCTTTTTCCTCTCATTTATTAAACAAATACCTATTGAATGTCAACTATTTGCCAATATATGCTTGTCTGAATATATAAACATGTATAAAACAGAGTTCTGGGAATGCAAAGTTGGTTCAACATACTACAGTCAATCAGAGTAATACACCTCAACAAAAAATTAATTTAATTGATTCTCTGACTCCTTATGTTTAAAAACCTATACACTGTCTTTATTTTTCTCATGATTTCTGTTTACTACTTCATATATCCCAAAAAGAAAAACCCACACTCATACTCCTATTCCACTCTAAAGTAGTAAAACTGGGCTAACCTGTGGGTACAAACTATATATTTGTGCTAGGCTCATGGGAATAAGAGGAAATAGTAAATTTATTTCATAAGAGTCCATTATCTTCATTAAACATTAAAAATTCATATGTGTGTACTCTATTTTATACAAATAAAATAGAATATATCTTTTGAGTTCCAAAATTATACCACTTAAATTCAGCAAAACATTAATCTATATTAATAATAAATGCAAGGTAATATAAACCCTATTAAGCCACAAATAGATAGTAAGAAATTAAGAATTTGCAAAGTAAAATACAGAGACATTAAAATGGGTAAAAAGAAATAATTATTCTGAGACAAACGCCTCTTTTCATTTTGACAAGAGAAGAAAAAGGAATAAGTTATTTGGTTATTACAAGTGCATGAATAAGTGGCAACATCTGGGTAAAGTACCTGATATCCATGGCTCAAATCCTTTACTGATAAGGGAAATTCAAAATTTTTGAAGGATGACTGTATATAATTTTAAGAGGTGAAAACAACATAAAAATAGGCAGATATCTAGGTAGCAGAAATAACCTGAGAAATGAAAAGCGAGTCAATATGGTTAAGACAGAAGAGTTGGGGTGGTATAGAGTTAATGGGATGAAAAAGCATATAGAGAAGTTATTCATTAAGCTTCCTCATCTGTTTAAGTGGCATGATCTCTCTCTGATGGAATGGAATCGAGGAAAACACTTGGAAAAGTAAAAGCACTATAAAACACAAATGGTTAAGAGGCATTCAATAGTTTTATAAAATGGTCTTACATGGCTGAGGTTCTAATAGAAAAATGCTAATTGAATGTAAGTTCACCAGTTTTAACAAATGTACCACTCTGGCGGGGGTAACGGGGAAGACTGTATGTGTGCGAATAGGGATAATATATGGGAAATCTCTGTACCTTTCCCTCTATACCAGTGGTTCTCAACCTGTGGGTCGCAACCCCTTTCACAGGGGTCACCTAAGACCATCAGAAAACAAAAATATATTTACATTACGATTCATAACAGTAGCAAAATTATAGTTATAGAGTAGCAATGAAAATAATTTTATGGTTGGGGGTCACCACAACATGAGGAACTGTATGTATTAAGGGGTCACGGCATTAGGAAGGCTGAGAACCACTGCCTATACCTTCTCCCTGCTATGAACCTAAAACTGTTCTAAAAAAAAAAAAGAAGTCTTAAAAAAAAGGCTAATTAAAGAGATGTGTTAAGACATGTATATAAAAAATGTTGAACTGGCCAGAGCTGCTGATAAGAAGAGGAAAAATAATTAATACCATAAATAAGGAATAGGCAAATATGAGTGATCCAAAATATGAGAAAGAATTTGAAAGTCTTAGATGACTACAGATTAGTTTGCTGATTCAGGTAGAATCAGGGAAAAGAACTGACCAAACCAGGAACAACAATGACATACAAATTATAGTCGTCACTTGGTATCCATGAGAGACTGGTTCCAGGACCACCAGACCTCTCCCTCCCCAAGAACACCCAAATCCCTGGATACTCAAGTCCCCTATACCAAGTGGCATGAAACAATGCATACAGTCAGTCCTCTGCATTTGTGGATTCCCAACTACAGACTGGAAATATTGTTTTTGATAGGAGGTTGGTTGAATCCACAGATGCAAAACCTGGGGATAGAGAAGGACAACTGTCCATTTATTGAAATAAAAATCCACATATAACTGGACCCACGCAGTTTAAACTCGCGTTGTTCAAGGATCAATTGTATACGAAAGTTCATTCAGTACTTGGTATATTTAATTCTTAAAGTACCCAATACTTTAAAATTTTATAACCAACTAAATCAATAACTTCTTGGCCTGTTCACTACTAGTATCTCAAGAAGCCAAGAACTCTTCATAACAGAGTATTTAAGGAGCTGAACTCTACAGTAAGATGGTCTTAGTTTAATCTCAGCTCTACCATTTACCAGCTGCCTGACCATGCACAGGTTCTAAATCTCTGTAAGTCCTAATTTCTTCATCTGTATTTTAAAAATAACATCTAATCCAAAGAGTCCTGTGATGCATACAATTTGGTATATGATAAGTGTCAATAAATAATATCTATCATCAATAACAATAAGAACTATAACTTCAGTGTAACATAAGAAAATGTATACTATATGTCTGAGCACTGCTAAGCCCGCCAAAATTGATACAAATAAAATGATAAATGATCTCAAGACTACAAATGGTTTAAAGACTGAAAATTAAAATAGCAACACTACATCTGATTTTCAAAGACTGAATGGAAGGTTGGTATAATGGAAAAGGTAACTGAGATACACAGCCATTTAAGACAAATTGAAACTCAAGTTGCATATATGCAAACATTTCAAGGTTATAATTGGAGACTGATGCAAATAGCCCAAAGTAGTCCATTATTTGTCATTCTAACTGTGAAGAACCAAGAAACATTCTGGAAGATGAACAGTGTGAAGAAGCATAGCATAATTTTCCCTATTTTCTTCATACTATACACATTTTAGATTTGATTCAAATAAAACAAAACAAAGCCAAACCAATTATATACTACAAAGATCAATAATGCCAGAGGATAAAAGCCACACATAAAATTTGCTTTGCCATGTCAGAAAAAATATCCATATGTGTGCCTGTATAACCTTCTTTTCTCAAAAATGGAGAGAATCTACAATTAGCTTAACACTTCAGGCTATGGTACATAATTCATAATGCTAATTTATAGTCAAGTCAATTGTTGACCTCTGCTCAAATACCTTTTATAATTGAGGGGGATGGGATCATAAAGATTTTTATTATACTCAAAAACATTCTCCTTAAAATAACAAGTAAAAGGCAATGTAGCTAAATTTTTACAAAATGATATTCTGATAACCAAAATGTTTCAGAGAAATGGGAATGTCTAAGAAAGCACATATATATGCTTAAGAAAAAAGGAACTATGTAAATTAAAACTACTGATGGCTACCATATTAAATTAATTCAATAGAAAAACAGATGAACAACATCAGAGAGAACCATAAATTAGAGAAGAATGTGAAGAGAAAACAAGCCAAAACAACAGAAAAGCAGAGTTCTAAGTGATAAGGAAAATAAAAAAAAAAAGCATGCTTTGTAGTTTTGTATAAAGTATGATTCCATTTAAGTATATTCTGATTTACTTAAAGCAAGTGGATGAAGTTATTATAATCACATGTTAGCTCAAAGTTATCACATGTTCCTTTAAATGGTACATTCAGCCTATAACATATAAATAAGCTATAAAAATTAGACTGAATTAAAGAGCCACATGTTTGCTACATGTAATTAAGAGCCAAATCAGCACCTAAGAAAACTATGTCATCCAGAAGGCAAAAAATGTTCTATGGAATGGAGAAAACATCCACAAAGTATAAACACTACTAAGCTAGACATGACATAAGACAAAATTACACACAACGATGAATTTACTGAACACCACAGTCCAACCTGTGAGCACTGGCTGGTTTAGACACGACCCTCAATCTTTTCAAAGTTTTTCTAGTAAAATCAGCATCCTGGAAATGGTGATGACCTGCAGCCCCCTTAGGAAATCCCAGATGTACTCCAGGTGAAATTCCCCTGTAGATAAATATGCACAACGACTTCTATTACTTTCTCTGAAGCAAAGCATAAGCAGCTACTGCAGAATATAGCCATACCTTTCTGGTAGCCTTTGGCCATGTATTGCTCCTTTCCACTTAGCTTCATTATCTTCTCTTTGTCGTTGCATTTGATCAAAAATAGCATGATAATGTTCATATTGTCCTCGAGAATAATAAGATGATGGAAGCACAGCCCCTCCACTGCCAAAAAAGGTAGCCTAGGAATTAAACAAAGAGCTCTCACATGTTTAATCTCATAATGCCTAAAAGGCTTACGCTAGCCTCAAAAGAAAAAATTTCAACACTTGACTTTTAAATAGCAATTATTTATTATGAACATATTAATAAACATATAGCCTAAAGCAAAATGTCTTCCTACTATATTATACCCATTAACAATCAAAAAGTAGTATACTGTTACAATAAAGCATAATTTTATGTAACAAACAAAAATATAAAATGTCAGTAAATTCATGTAATTATGGAGAAATCTGGTTTTAACAGGTTTTGAAACAAGTTTCTAGTATACATTTTAGGTGATCCCATTCTATTAAGCTTAAATATGTATAGCACAGCTTGCTTTTGTAACACTCAAAATTACATTTAATAAAAACATCTGCATACAGTATTTAATATACCCCAAACCTTTCAATTCAATAAGCAATGAAGATATAAACAAACATCACTGAAACATACTGTAGGTTGTAAATACAAGAAGCAAAACATCATATCCATCCTTAAGCAGTTTACAAACAGGCTGGCAAACACAGCACAAAACTAGAAAAACATTTCATGCCTGTGGCAAATGAAGGGTAATAGGTACACTCTGAAGTAGTGAGTACTGAGTTAATTCACAAAATAGAAAAAAAGTGTCAGAAGTAAAAATTCTTAAAAATTATGTAAATAAATAAATAAATAGATAGATAAATAAATAGCTAGCTAGTACTGGAGAAAAACAGCTCAACCCAGCCTTAAAAGCAATATAAAAAAACAAAGATTAAATGATTAAATATGAGCCAGAGTATTATAGCAAAAATAAGCAACACACGTATATATCTGAGTGTTGCCAGTAGGGGGAAGAAGACAGATATCATGGGAAGGGAGCATTAAGCTTGGTCATAAAAGGTTGGTGTAGATAAATGCTATCAAGCCTGGGTGCTTGAGTTCATATAATAAACAACAAAAGAAAGCATTTATAAACTTTCTAGTAGGAATAACATACCAACATAGTTTTTAAAAAGGTCAGTAAGTCAAATTATGCATGATTAGCAGGAACAAGTGAGAGAATAAGGTAGAAGAACTAATTAGAAGGATCGTTGGTTGCCCTGACACCAAGCCAAGAAGACTAGAAGTAAAAAAAAGCAATGACCGAAAAAGCAAATGCTGAAGGGAGTTGAGGATTCTCTGCGGGAATGACGAAGGATAAGAGCAAAGACATAAGGACTCAAGTGCATAGAAAACTCAGTTAGAAATTAGAGATGTCAGAAAAGGGTAAAAGTTAAAAAGAAGTAAGTGTATAATGTTCCATAAGTCCTGGTGGAAGAATTTCACTGAAATGAGGAAATCAATGATCTCAAATGCAGAGGTCAAGGCAATGAAAATAAGACAAACTGATATAACTAACGTTGAGTGGTAGCATTTAGAAAACTTGTTTTTTTTGTGAAGTGATGACAACAGAAGCAGAATACTGACAGTAAAAAAAAAAAAAAAAGAGCTTCCAAGTGATAACCTCTTAAGGAAGAAGTATGGCTAAGAAAACATACAAAGAAAAATATTATAATCAAATAAAAGAAAGTTCAGTGTACGCAATGAGATTAAATTTTTGCTAACGACTTGACACAGTAAGTTGCATACGATATTATAAGAAAGCATGACTTAAAAAACAATCAGCTCAAGATAAATACAGATAAACTGATTAAAGATGTTTGAAGAGCAAGAAATGGAAGTTGCTAGAAATAGGTAAGATCGTTGAGCAGAAAATTCCATCAAGGCGGTCCTTACATCTTCAAAATGCTCATCTCAAGGCAAGAATCAGAATCAGAACTCTGATAAAAGGTAGTCATGTCTCCTATGAGTCTGTACTCTTTGGGTTTAGTCTGGTGTTAATATCATATTAACTTGAATTTGAGTGTTCTAATGTTTTATCTTTAACAAAAACAAAACTATATAAACATCTCTGAAGATTCCTATATTCAAAATAATGTTAAAAACAGTATACTAGAACACTGAAGCAATATGATCTTTTAAAAATCACCTTATTCACCAATCATAAACATAGTTTGATGAATTTTGACAAATATATACATTCGTGTATCCACTATCACAATCAAAAGCACATCCATCACCCCGGAAAGTTCCCTCGGGCTCCTCTGCAGCTAATGCCCCTTCACTCCAGCAATTACTGATCTGCTCTGTCAAATAGATTAGATTTGTCATTTCTATTTCACATAAATGGAATCATACAATATGTACTCTTGTGTCTGGCTTCTTTCACTCCGTATGTTTTGATTGTTCCAGGTCATTGTATGTATTAACAGCCTATCCCTTTTTATTACTGAAGAGTACCCTGATATATTTTCAAACAACAGATACGCCTCTTACAAATTATGATCACCACAGGATCAAACTACATATGTGGAATATTTCATAGTTTTTAGAAAAACACAATCATAAGAGATACATAAAAAATGGATAAAGCAAAGAGTTCCCAGATTTTGTGGATACTAAATAATCAAAGACAGTTCGTTATTTATACTGTGAATAATGTCTTCTTATTTAGAGGTATAATATAATGGTATTAATTTTGAAATACTTCCCTTAATGTTTAGTAGTCTTTTTTCATCCTTATTTTCAGGATCTCCTTAATTTACATTATACTGAGCCTCCAGGTCCTTCTCAACTGTACGAAAATCAAACAGCCTAACAAGTTAAATATTTCAAACCCCATAGGAAGTAAGTACAGAAACTAGCACAGAACTACATTTAAGTCATGGAAAATAAATTGTTTTATTAATGCTCAATGAAAGCATTATAGAATTTATAAAGTGAAGCAGAAATCTGTTAAGTACATATTATCTAACACTGTTGAAAAACTGTTATCAAACAAGATTGATAAAACTGGACTTGATTAAAACAGCTTTCAAAATCATAGGAAAAAAAGATTTTATTGCACAGAAGAGGATACATGCAAAGGGAGAATAAAAATAATCAAATTCTCAACACTAATCATGGACTTGATATAAAACGCATGACAAGATCTGAGGGCCTACACTTTGATTGGTAAGCTTTTACTTTCAATCAGGTAAGATATGAGGTTAGTTATTTTAGAATGGGCCAAATTCTGTCTCAGTCATTTTTTATTATTCAAGAGGTAACAAGTTCTACTTCACAGTAAAGCAGGCAGTACTGTACAAAAATAAGAAAGCACAATTACTAAAAACTGTACAAGTCTATATTAGTACAGAATTAGAAAAAGTGATTCTTACTGAATTACTGATATGTGATACAAAAAAACTTGTGCATCTCAAGAGACTGATAAAACAAATCAAGAGAGCCAGGAGAACATATATGCCTAAATAAAGCAGGTGAAGCAAACTTTTATTCAAATCATACTATTTGGAGAGAAGAAACAAGTAAGACTGGCAATCAATTCAACTTGACAAATATCCAGCGGGCACCTAAAAACCAGGTTTAATGAGCATGGGTCAGGGGAATTCACAGTATTAAGACATGTTGACTAGCAGTTGATTCGATGATACAAATTAAAATTATAATAGCAAAATAATAGTGTGTTCATTTTTATTGCTGTGTAACAACCACAAACTTTGCTTAAGACACTACCCATTTATTATAATGCTCACAGTTTCCCTGGCTGAGGAGTCTGGGAACGATTAGGTGGGTACCCTGCTCAGGATCTCACCAGGCAGAAATCAAGGTGTCAGCCAGGGCTGCAATTCTCCTTGGAAGCACACATCCTCTTTCAAGTTCCTGGTTTTTGGCGGAATTCATTTCTTTGTGGCTGTAATGGCTAAGGTCACCATTTTCTTGCTAGTTGTTGGCCAGGGACCACTATCAACTCCTAAAGGCCATGTGTACTTCCTCACCATGGGAAAGTTTGCTTTTTCCAGGCCAGCAGAAGCGTATCTCTGACTTTCTTTCCCCCTTTCAGTCTGCCATGAGGGAGTCTTATAAAATGTTAACATAATCAAAGGAGTAACTACCTAGCACCATTTGCAACATAACATAATCTAATCAAGGAGCTGCTATACTGCCATACTCACAGGTTCTACCAACACTCAACGGGAGGGGATAATACAATGTGCGCACACCAGGGATCAGGAATTTGGGGGATCACCTTAGAATTCAGCCTACCACAGGTATGTAAAGGATGCTACAATAGCAAAAGAGGAAATGCATGATAAAGACTGACAGAACAAAGAAAGGAACTGGAAGTTAACATATGAGACCTTGCTAACCAAGCTCCAGGCACTGTTTTTGAACTCTGTCTTTCTTCTTCCCTTCCTTCCCTCCATCCTTGTTTCTTTCCTTCCTTCCTATTTTTAATGAAGAAGTTAAGGCTCAGAAAAGTTAAGTAATTTGCCTAAGGTTATATAGTCTGGATCCAAACTAATGTTTGCATTACCATATCTAGGTAAATGGATAGCTAGATAATTGGTTAACCAATTAATGGTTGGTTAGGTGTTTGGTTATTTAAGGCTGGAGACGGAAGTGAGAGTGAGGAGGGAGGGAAGGGTACTATGAAATAAAGAGAAACACAAGTGTAAATAATACACACAGTAAGGAAACTACAAGTATGGTCTTTAGTTCAGCATGACTAGAGCACACAGTGGGTGGGAGGGAATGGAGGGAGATGAGCTTGGAGAGATTGGTAGGGGCCAGGTTAATACGAGTCTCCTGAAAACTTCATCTTTTAAGGCTACATGAAACTACAGAAGGATTTAAGGCAGAGGAGTGACAAACTGTATTTGATTTTAAATAGATTCCTCCGGCGGGAATGGTGTGTCACGGCATTCACATCAAACGTTTAAAGTATTTTTAACAGCGTCACATATTAGTTATCTATTCAAGCTATGTATCAAATACATACAGGAAAACTAAGAATTCATAATAAATCCTGGAGAACTCTAGGTAAAAAGTAAATGTACACATATATACACACACACACACACACACACAAACACAGACACACACAAAAGCCAACTGTATAGATTTTAAAGAGCAAGGTGAAAATAGAGAAAAAATGGCAGCAGTGTTAACTATATTGGTATCAAATGCCTACCTTTACTTCACCACTTCCACCAGCACTTAGCACGTTCCTCCATCCTTGCTCCCTGGCCCTATTTATTCTCTCCAACTTTTGGGGAAAAGACACAAACAAACAAAACACTGTTTCAAGTATTTAATTTAAATACATGACATACATTTAGTAATGAAATAGAAATCAGTGTCTTCCTTTAAAAAAAAAGTATGTGTGCAGGGAGAGCGTGGAATGTGCCATGGAAAAATGGATTATCCTCTTACCCTTTCTTTTTCTTGCCTTTTCATCTGTTCAGCCTTCATTAAGCTAATCTGTAACAATTTTAAAGACAAACTTCTTAGAACTCTTGAAACTATTCCTCTACAGCTTGGCAAATGAAGAAAAAACAAAAGCAAAAACTACATAATCTTTTTGTTTCTTTTCTTTTTCAAAATACTCCGACCATCTCTTTCCTGCTGCTTCCTTAAATAAAAAAAGAACATTTTTATCAATAAAAATTTCTATTTTTTCGAGTTTCATTAGGAAAGTTAGTACACCAATGGTAGAGGTATGCCCAGGAAGGTTAAAAAAAAAAAAAAGTTAAAGTATTTGTTTGAAAGAAATAAGGAGGAAAGGTTTGAAGGTTTTGTAGATTTTGATTCTTTTCTTATAATTATTTTTGCAAAGCTTTAAAATAAGCAGACAGATGTCTTTATACCTCAAACATTTTCCTCCTTTCTTCTCCAGGATTCACTTTCTTCAATGGAGTATGATGGGCCTGGTCAAAAAGTAAAACTACAAATTAGATAAGGATTTGTAATCTACATTGGTATCTACATTTGTTTTCTACATTCATAACATTGATATACTTCAAGAACAGCTTTCAAGCTTTTCCTAAATGTAACCCACAGTAAGGAATGTATTATATTTCACATCCAGTCCCAGTAAAGATACACACATATCACATGTTCCCTAAGTTTAATTAAATACCTTTACTATGTGTAGTAGATTCTGTCACTTTTCATTCAATTACTTTTAAAAAAGTCCCTGCTCTTCACCCACTAAAATAATTTTGCCGCCACTAATAGATAGAAACCCCCAGTTTTAAATAGTTAAAAGAGAGCTCTGGGGGCACTATTACTTAAATACAACAACAAAAAAATACAATTGTTGATAATGCTTTTCATAGTGTCACACACACACAGTTAACATTTCAAAGTATGTTCCATGTATATAGAATGGAAACTAGTGGGGAATGTTACCCAGGGGCTTTGTAAAAATATATATTCCTTCCATAAAAAGTATTATTATTTTGCGAAAAAATGGAATGAAATACTGATACATGCTACAACCTTGTAAACATTATGCTAAGTAAAAGAGGCCAGTCACAAAAGACCACATATTGTATCATTCCAATCATATAAAATGTCCAGAAAAAGCAAATCTATCTAGAGACAGAAGTTGATTCGTGGTTCCCTAGGAGTGTGGGGGTGAGGGAAGAATGGGGAGCGAATACTAAAGGGAAAAGGATGGGGGGTGGGGGGTGATGAAATGTTCTAAAACTGATTGTGGTAATGGTTACATAACTCTGTGAAAACACTAGAAACCATTTAACTCCAAACTTTAAATGGATGGATTGTATTGTATGTGAATTATATCTCAATAAAGCTGTTTTTAAAAAATACATATCCCCAAGAGTGGCTGACTCATAATTTCTGGATCTGGAGCCCTGCATTCTTCATTTTGACAAGTTCCACAGGTTAACTCTTATGTAGCAGGTCAGGCACCAGTCTCAAAATTTGTGAAGCACTACACCAAACAATTTAAAAATATTAATGCTAGTAATACAGCATCTTATTATAAATGACCAGCTTTTAAACAGATTACACAATAACATGGACCAAGAAGAGGCTGTTTAAATAAAACACCTACATACTCTTAGGTAAGTTACATGAAGGCATAAGTCATATTTATCTTTTTATGTTCCATATCACCTTACATATGAGATACTCAAATATTTGTAAAATAAAAATACTAAACTGTTCCTCTGAGCTCACACAGGTATTTTCAGAACACTATTTCTACATGGAAGAGAAAAACATGGTAACATAAAACATCCATACTAAAAGAAATGACTGTGTTTTTTAAAAGCAGAGCCAAAATATTGAAACATATTCATGGAGTGCCCTCTGGTGGCTTAATAACCGCTCCTTTGTTTTAACAGAGAAGCCTTTAAAAAATAACTTGATTATTATAGGAATTGGAGCAAAGAAAGTTTTTATGATATGCATGTATTTTATGGAGTAATAATAACAATACATATTAGCTTAAATTTTAGCATTTAAAAAATGAAAAATAATATCATTAAGCAGTATGGTTTTCCTTATTAAGTTCTCATTTTTAAGCTTGACAGGAAGTTAAGTAAAAAATTCCAAAAAGGGGCCGGCCGAGTGGCACGCTGGTTAAGAGCTGGCTTGGGACGCCAGAGGGCCCCGGTTCGGATCCCACATATGAGGACCAGTGACACTGCCCTCCACAGCTAAGATGCTGAACAACAGCTCAACCTGGAGCTGGGCTGCCATGAGTCGCCGGCAACAGCACAGGCTGCAGCCCCTGTGGCAGTGGGTTGCCATGGGCTACTGTGTGTAGCCAGCAGCCAGCGTGAGCGGCCGTCCAGAAGCCGGCGACTGATCTGCCTCGCCCGGGAAGAGCGCAATGATGGTACCAACTTGAGCCAGTGAAGCAATGTCCTCCACAACTAGACTGAAGAACAAAACGACAGCAACTTGTCTGTTCCCCTTCCCCCAATTCCTGAGCGCTGTTCCCATCCCCTAAATCCCCAATAAAAATCTTTAAAAAAAAAAAAAAAACAAATTCCAAAAAGCCATTATGAATTTGCATCTAAAAGATGCTTTAGATTTTCTTGGAAAAGTTAAGTCCTTTCCAAAAAAACAGTCTCATATAGAAACCAAAGGAAAAAAAAACCTGATTTTACAAATCTTATTTAAAACAGTTTAAATTTTTCACTTATTTCCTTTAATTCCATTAATTGTTAGATTTGAAAAACTTCAGACATTTGACTGACACTTCTTTTTTCTATTTATTTTCCTCTTAATTTTTTTCACTTTTTTCATTCAATTTACCATTTTAACCATGTTTAAGTGTACAGTTGTGTGATGTTAAGTACATCCACACTGTGCATACAAATGCAGTTTTAAGAGAAATATTTTTTAAAGAAGCTATATGATATTTCAAGTGCTAATTATTATTGAGTTCTCATTTTCTGATTTATAAAATCACATTTATTTGCCTAAAAAGTGTTAGGCAACAACCTTGTCTCAAATCCAGAACACATAACTATTATCTGAATCATTTATGTCATTCAGAATACTGGATAGAATATCTATTATTCAGAATATTATTAATTAGAATCTTAATTCCACAACATGCTGCTCTTGCATACTGAATAGTATTTAATTGAAAATACGAGAAACAGTAAGAAAACCAACATATTATTTAATTATATCAGCCATATGAATGAATAGATTATACACTTGGCTACAATCCTGCCCAAAAGTGAAGGGCCTTCTGTTACATCATTATCCAGTCTCGCCCAGAGTTCCAATCTGTCCATTTAGTCAGGCTAAAACTTGGTCAAGAGATAAGACAACTGCATTTCTGTATGTCCACCCACGTGTGTACTCCTTAGTGAGCGAGTGACATAAAGATACCTACTCCCCAAATAATAGTTTCATTTCCTGGTAGGGTAGAGATTCTGCATGTGTATAGCCAAATATTAAAATGTATTGTAGTTGTAATATAACTACCATTTTGGAATAAACATCTCAAAAACTACCTATGAAATATCTTTACTTTGAATCTGTCTTTCACTTAACTCCATTAAAAGAAATAAAACATTTCCTAAACAATTTTGATCCAAGGCATGATTTTTTAAAAAGTCATTTATAAGAATGCAGTCACTCTATTATAACTGATTTCATATCAATGAAATATAATACAACCACTGATGATAATAAAAATTTACAAAAAGCATATATAACATTAAATAAAAACATCAGAATACAAAATCATCCATAAACTGGCAGAGCTTCATTAGAAATACAGGCAATACATATCTGAATAAAAACTGGAAGGGCCCAAAACAAAGTTCAGTTAAATTAAATGCAATATTTGAATACTGGGAATATGTATTTCATTATATAAAATTGTCAACCCTGTATTAAAAACCTACAGTAAATTTATTAAAATACATATTTTTATAGAAAAAATTCCAAATCAAAGTCATAATACTTAAATTATGACAAAGAATCAATAACTTTAATAGAAATCAGGTTTCCACTTCAAAAATTACACATGTATGTAAAGGATCAATTTCAAATGCTGTTAACGCTCCCTCTTCATTACCTCAAGCTGAACTAGTAGTTGCCTTTAAGTATCAGGGATAAAAGCTCAAAAACACTGGCCTTCTGAGTGTGCCTAAAAGCAGGGGTTTTATATGGCCTTTCACCCTATCAACCAGTTAAAATATTAAAGGATACTGCTTTATTGATTTGGAATTCACTCTATTCAATCATTTATTCACTTATGTTTTTTAAAAAAATAAACTTACTAGACACTTGCTTTGTACAAAATGTGTAAAATATGGTTCCTAACTTCAGAGAACTGACAGTCTAATAAAAATAACATTAAGAAGATACATATTAGGTGCTAAAGCAATAAAGATAAGGAAGAAACTATTTTCTTGCTTTTTTGGGAGGAAGAGGTACAATTAAGGTAGAAACAAGAAAAGACTGGTAGGAAAAAAGAAAAAGATATTTGAGGTGTTTCCTACCTCCCTTAGGTCCGTGGAGAACTCTGACCATCAAAGCCCCACCACCAATGTGGCAGTCCCCACGGAATAATGACAGCATTACATTATTTAATCTAGAGCTAACAATGTGAGCAGTCATCACAAAACTTAGTCCTTTTGCCTGTTTTCCAGGCCCGTCTCTTTATTTGCACTATAAGATTTGAGGTCAGAAGAAACGTTCTAAAATTGATTGCAGTGACGGCTGTACAACTCTGTGAACACACTAAAAACCTGTCCTCTGTACTCTCTAAGGACTTACAGAATAATCCAGTATGAATGTGATATGTACCTACACATAAGAGTAGGCAAAAAAAGAATATTTAAAAAGAAGGAGGGGGTACATAATGGGCAAAGACAAGGAAGAAAAAGTACATACAAGGTGTAATCAGTAACTAGTGCTAAGTCCAATTTAGCTAAGGCTCAGAATTTAGGAGCAGTATGGGAGAAAGGTGTATCAAATGCAGGTTTGAATCTTGGAAAGTCTTCAATAGACAAGCATAACTTATTTGGTAGGGTACTTCTGTGCCATTAAATGTTTTCTGTGTGACCACACCTTCTGTTTTTTGTTTTTATGCCACTAAGCCTGGCTCTAAGGATCCTTAAATTTGAAATTTTGGGTTACAACAGGAAGTTAAAGGAATAATATTAATGTTTAGCATCATTAGTACTACCATCGATGATAATCTTAGCAGACACTTGTCTTTCTAACTTAACAAAATAGTTGCTAAAACTATTTTTTCCGACTTGTCCTTACGAAATAAACACACATTCCAGTGTTGTTAAGAGACTTGTCCATTATCATTTTTTCTCTCCAGTATTTTGTTTTTTAATAGTTACCCATTTGCTAAAAAGAATAACAAAAAGGCTTTTGTAGAGAGTTTTACTAAAATTTTTGGGCATTACTCATTCTTTTAAAGAATCAACATTTGAGTGACCTGACAAAGCCTAAGTTACTAGTCACTAATCTACTTATTAATTCATTTATTCAGTAAATGTTTACTGAATACCTACTACTTTCTATGAACGGTTTGCCAGAAACCAGTAAACAACAACAAAAGTCCCTCCTCTCATGGAGCTTTTACACTGTCAGAGCGGAGACTGGCAGTAGGCAAACAAATGAAAAATACACACTACATTAGATAGCAACAATGTGGAGAAACACAAAGCAGGATAAAGCAGACAGAAATGCAAGGGTGGGTAGAAGGATGATCACTGGTTATTTGATATGCCGGTGATAAGGATGAAGGCTCTATTCCTAAACTAGGTTTTGAGCACAGACCTGAAGGAAGTAAGGGAGGAAACCACAGTTTTTTCAAGGGCAAGTCTTCCAGGAAAAGAATACCAAGTACAAATGCATTTTTGCAGATGAATGCTTGGTATGTTTGAGGACAACAAGGTTCGGGGTTCAGTTAGCATGGCTGGACTGGGATTCGCTAAGGGGGAGCAGGCTTAGAGAGCAGTAGGGCATCAGAGGACTTTGTGGGCCATTGTAAGGACCTTGGCTTTTACTATGAGATAAAAAGCCACTGGAACATTTCCTGCAGGAAACTGCAATGACCTGACCTTCATTGTAAAAGAAATTTAGGCTGCTCAAGTGAAAACAGACTGCAAAAAGTTTGAAAACAGTGAAATCAGTCAGGCAATTCCTAGTATAACCCAGGTGAAAGACGAGGGTGGACAGGACTAACGTGATGATAAAAATAATGAGAAAAGGTCAGACCCGTGAATATATTTTGAAGGCAGAATTGTTAGTACGTGATGTTGAAAGGGTAGTCAGTGATGACTCCGCAAGGTTTTGATGAGAACAAATGAAAGGAGGAAGGTGCCATTTACTGAAATAAGGGATATCAGTGGGGAGGATGTGGAATCAGGAGCTCAGTCCTACACATGTTAATTCTGAGATGCCCATTAGAAACCTAATTAGAGATGCTGAGACAGGTTTGAATCTGGAGTTCAGGAAAGAAGCCCAGGCTAGAGATGTCAATTTGAATGTCAGTTTACAGATGCTGTCAATTAGCGAGGGAGTCTGGTACAAGAAGGAAGATATCCAAGGACTGAGACCTTAAGCACTTCAGTATTTAGAGGTCAGGGACATGAGGAGGAACTTGCAAAGGAGGCTGAGAAAAGCAATCAGGTAGGAGGAGAAATCAGAAGAATGTAATACTTTGGACTCAAGTCAATAAAATGTTTAAAGGAGGAGGGGGTAACCAGGTGAGTCAAAAATTGAGGTAAAGGAAAAAGACAACCTACCCCTGCACTTAACAATATGGAGGTCACTGATGTCCTTGCCAACAGCTGTTTTCTAACAGCTGTACAAAGGAAGCCCTAAAGGGAATGGGTCCAGGAGAAAATGAGAAGAGAGGAGCTGGAGGGAGCAGAGACAATGTGTGGGGAAAGTTTTGCTGTTACAGGAAGCAAAGATGTAAAGAAGTAGCTGGAAGGAGACACGGGAGACAAGGTTTCTTTCTTTCTTTTTTAAAGATTAAAGATACAACATATTTCTTTGCTAACAGGGATGACTCAGGAGACAGAAGAAATGATGCAGATGAGAGCACAAAGCCCTTTAGGAAGCAATAATAATAATAATAATAAATGGCAGGGTTGACTCTAGATGAAAACAGATCATCCAAAGTATTAACAAGAAAGGCAGAATATTTACAAACAGATATGACTGACTGGCAGAAATGGTGTTGAGAGTATGGGAAAATCTTCTTCCAATTGTTTCTACTTTCTCAGTAAAATAGGAAGCAAGGTGATTAGCCTGAAGTGAAAAACAAGGAAAAGGTAAAAAATAATCATCTCGGAATTGGAGAGTGAATGGACTGAGAAATATAACAGGGTGGCCAGAGGTTGTTGGTTATAAGTTTAAAGTGAGAACAGTTAGAATAGTTGTATGTTTTTTCAACCACAGTCCATGTCCAGGTTCAGGGCACAAAAGAGGTAGAGTTGGATTTCACCAAATTAAGTTTTTGCCAGGTGATTTGTAATAGCGGAAGACCAGGGGAAGAGAGTTGAGGTTTTGAAAAGTATTATAATGTGAGGAGGACATGGAATTTAAAGCTGAAAAAGGAAAACGAAAACTAGGTGGAGACAAACAATGAAAAACTAGTAAGCTCCATGGATCCAAATAAGACAAAGAAGTTTTGGAGGCAGAGCCTTTGCGGGATGAGCAGGAAACATAGGAAGTACTGGTCAGGGAGTGGGATGTTTATAACTGAGACTATGGAATAGTTGCCATTATTGAAAATACCAAATTTGATGGCATGACTACTGGTGACAGTTTTAAGATATGGTGGCAGACAAGGCCACTGAAAGAGGACGATCAAAACAATAAGATGCCATGTACTACAGGAAGGGTCATTGTTTTGAATACTAAAATCACCAAAAATTATGACAGCGTTGAGAAAAGAGACAGTGAGTCATTCAAGTATTAAACTCTTCAAGAAATGAAGGTCTGCAGATGATCCTAACATGGAGGGGTAGCAGTTGGCCAAAGTGTCAAAGCTTGGGGAGTGGGTTAGGGAGCCGGAAAGAGTCTGGCAATAAGAAGTAAGGAAAACACTTCCTTCATCCTACCTGAGGCTCAGGGGTACTAAGGTATTAGAAAGAAATAGTCACCAAGTAAGAGAGCTGTACGAGTGTGTTCAAGGACAAGTCGGGTTTTAGAACAAAAAAGGTGAGAACAATCTTTAGAATTTAGAATACAGGGGATTTTGTTGGTGATATACTATAAGATGGTTCTGTGTATATATTTATCTGACTGTGAATCTTCAATTATAAAAATTTCCTATATTTTTTATCAAGTGTATCAGATATTTACTTGTTTTATGCACAAAAACAAATGGCTCTGCTTAGGTTTTTAAAAAAAGATTTCATTTATAACATCACTTTCTTTTTATTGCACCAACTACTATACCTAATATATCTATTTAATGTTTCTTTTTTACTTCTGTTAAGGCTTCTTAGTTTGGAAAGACTGATGAAGCAGAGAACAGCAATGTTCTTTAGTAACTAAATAAAAACAATCCCATGAATATCCAAAGAACTGAGCTGAGTTGCAAAAAAATGAGGTCAAACTGAATTTGTTACTGATAACACAGTTGTAACATGATCATACCTGTTTATGTTTCTGGAGTGGTTTCTTTTCATGTAATTTTTTATCTCCATGTTTCTTATATGTTAAAGGCATCCCATATTTAGCAGCAGGCTTTGTAATTTTCTGAGCAGGCACAACAGAAGCCAAGCTTTGTCCTGAGGCTGGTCTTTTAGCTACATGAAAAGATAAAAAAGATTTTTTTCTAGAGTTCTTTATGGTAATGCTTTAATTTCCAAATTCTTCAAGATAGCACTATTTCATTTTCACAATCGTTGACAGCATTTATTTTGAAACTTTTCATTAAACATATTATTTACTCCTAAGCCCATGTCAATGCCTTCATTATAACTATTTTACACTAAAGCCACGTCTTGAAAGAAGCAAAAGCCATACTCCTGTAATATGTTGAAATTTCTCATAATAAAAAAGCACATCTCTAAAACTGACTGTGTGTGATGTTTGCACATATCTGTGACTACTAAAAAGCATGGAATTGTAGACTTTAAATGGGTGAATTTAATGGTATGTGAATAACATCGCAATAAAGCTATTAAAAATAAATTTTAAAAAAATTCACTGTTTTAGAAATTACTTGCAAAATCAGAACATAAACTTCAAGAACTGTTAAACATTAAATCCATCACTGAGGAACTTAATATTTTCTTCATATGTAGTTTGAATGTCTATACCTACAGACCTATTGAAGAACACACACTTGCAAACAATCTTTATAGCAAAGGGTCCCATGAAATGGGTACGCTTATACACTCCTGGTGGGAATATAAATTGGTCAAACTTTCTGGAGGGCAATCTATATCAAGAACAATGTTTATGAATTGATTTTAAAGAAATAATCAGGGAAACAAAAATTGTTAACAACGATAAACCCTGCAGCATTATGTATTAAACTCTTACTGAAGCCTAGACAAGGTTCAGTCTTAGAACAATGGTAAATTCAAGAAAAACAGTTAAACTGAAGCAGTTAAAAGGAAAGTCTGCTATTTACATCTCTCAAAGATAAAAAAGGAGGTCAAAGAGTATAGTTTACACCAACCTTTCCCAAAACCTTCTTTCCTCTATTTTTCACACCTGCTAAGATATTATGCCTCCCTGCTCAAACCATCTAAGTAGCAGCTTTCTTTCTGCCTCTTCTAGCCTGATTTCTTGGGATTTTATCATGTGTTAAATCAATTTAAATCAATCTATTCCAACAAGTATTCTTCCTTTTTAGGACGGGAAAGGAGAAAAAAATTAACTGGTAGTTCACAATGAAATACTACCATTTAACTCAGTTCTTCAAAGAATATTTAGTTATATAGAAAACAATCAACATATAATACTGTGAATTAAAAGAAACAAGCCTTTGTTTATAGCACAACCCCAATTTTCAATCATTATCCATGTGTTATCACAGGAAAAAAATACCAAACATAACAGTATGTATTAAGATTAGAGGTAATTTTTATTTTCTTTTTAAAAAACTTTTAAGGCCTTTGAGCCTTTGAGCCGCAGCCTTTTTGAGCCATGCTTTTGCTCAGCCCGCTCCTAACTCTTTGGAGTACACTTTCTCTTCTAATAATGGCCCTTGAGCCACTGCCTTCTGCTCGGGCCCACTTCTACCTCTTTGGAGTATACTGTTTCTTCTAATAAACTGCTGTTTCCCCACTTCAAAAAAAAAATTATGATGAACACATATTATAAACATAATTTAGTAAACTCATAATAATAAAAAATATATCCATTTGATTGGCAGTTTAGAGATTCATATGTAATTTGGGTTGAAGATATGAGATACAGTATGGTAGGGTAAGGTTTTCCAAGCACATACTCCAGCTGTATCCTGGCAGAAACTGGGAAATGTAAAAAAATAAATTTCTCTTTGAGAGTTCAACTGTAAGATCAATCCAAAATGTGGATATACAAAGTCACAACATTAGAACCTGGCTGCATGTATTAACATAACCAAAGAAAAGCTCTGTATGCCAGAAAACGGGCAAGAGGCTCAAAAGCATAAAAATGAATAGTCCCAAGCGACAGATAAGACTAGTTCCCATTCACTTTCCAGAGAAGAGGGAGACTTCGTTACCTGATTTTGAGCATTTCTCATGCTCAGAGACAAGGCTACCACCATATCAGTAGGATGAAGCTCAATACAGAGAGTTGGAGCCCACAAAATAGTTATAGGCCCATCAGCAATACAACTCCTAGTTTAGCTACATGCTATTAAACATGTCATCCGTCCAACTCCTCTTACAACAAAAGAACTTTCTAATTCCTACGCAGGCTTACCCATATAGAAAGAACGTGCTGACATGGGGTATTTCTGGCCTTTGTGACAATGAGGCTTTCAATTCCTATTTGACTTCTCATGGGGCTTGACTTGGACTGCCAAGAGAGACATGCTGATTCTAGCCTGTTTCTATCTCTTGTGAATTCGGTTTCGAGTGAACTGCTTTCCCAGGGCCTGGCAGCCTATGCACACTAAGAGAGTGAGTCTAGGCGTCTTTACCAACAGCTGAGTATAGCTAGCCCTCCGGAGAATGTGCTGCCACACTACTTCCAGCTTATATGGACTCAGTTTAATGATATGCATTTATTTTTATTAATGTACTCTCACTCAAAATAGAACGTGCAAAACACTATGTTTGAAAAGCAATATACTCTTCAAACCTTAAATAACTCCCACTGATTTTAGAAATTCATTCTGAAATCATTCTATGTAGAATATAATTTTCCTCTCACACAAATATATGTATATACACACAACCCTATAAATATTCTACTGCTGATGACCACAATTAAAGTTATCCTTGACAAGGTACTTAACTTCACATTAATTTAGTTTTTTAATTACAGAATATGATGTATTTCTCAAAGAAAAATATTTTGCATAAAGATGTACAATTAACTGAGACATTTCATAACATTGTATGACAATGCTCTCAGAGTATCACCTAAGCGTCTGATAAAGATAGAAGATTTCAAGACAGATTTCATTTAAATAAGTCAGACAAGAAACAGACATTTTGCAATTAATTTATCAGACCGTAATGTATATTGTCATATATCAAAGATAATTTAAATATGCATTTCCTCTGAGTTAAATTTATCTACAAGTATCCCAATCTATTATATACTACATAACTCTCTAGTATAATCAGTAGATGTTACTAATTAATTAGTATATTAATTATTACAGATAAAATGACTCATTAAATTTCACTTACCTGGTATAGGCTGTGCTCCAAACTTGAAAAATGTTTTTAGACAAAATTCTTCTGCAATAAGCTTAGATTTAAATGGGGGAAAAAGTTAGAAATCATATTAAATTCCCAAAATGAAACACTTATCCATTAATCAGAATACATTTTTTTCCTTTTCCAGTCACAATTATGCTGTTAAATAAACTATACTAATTAAACCCAAATAATCCATTCATCAAATTCTTCTCATGCTAACTCCCTCCCAATCTTACCAATTTACTTTATTACTTCTCCAAACAGGCTTTCTTCTCAAATTAACCTAATGCACCAAAAGGTGTGCCTATTCTATCTCTGGGATTTTACACAACTACCTCCTATATGGAATAACCTCTATATTCTAAGAGTATACATAGCCCTCATTTACATCAATACTGATAAAAACCACTTCATTTATCCCTTTCTCAGATGAACCTCTCGATTATTTCAACTTTACTCTGAATCTTCTAAGCATTTCCAATGAGTTTTCCCTCACATCAATATGTAACTGTAAACATATTATTGGAAAAATATTTGCCTATTCTCACATAATTTGGCAGGTGTCTCTTTTTATTTTACTAAAACACTCCATTACTGATTCCCTAGCATTTATGAACATATTTTGAGAAGTCAAAAACATTAGTATTTCCTGCAAGTAATTTTCTCTCCCTACTCACATTATTTTCCTTCTTTAAAAGTAAAAAACTATGATACCAACAAAGATTTAACTCAATTTAAGCCTACTTTTTTTCCTACTGGGTGGGGAAGGCAAGTGAATTTTCTCTTTTTCAACAGAAATGACGCCTGGTGGAGAGAACATCCCCACAGTGGTAGTGGACTAGATGTTCCTCCAACAGGGAAAAACCATGACTTAGATGGTCCGCTTTCCCATCAAGGATTCCCCCGGAGCAGGTCTCAAAGTCTCAGACCAGCAGAATCAGCATCACCAGGAGCGCATTAAATATGCAAATTCTCAGGCTCCACCTCAGAATCACTAAAAGACAAATTATAGTGGTGGGAACCAGTAATATCCTCCAAGTGAGCTTCACGTATGCTGAAATTTTAGAAGCACTGCACCAGAAGATAGATGTAAGTGAAAGTCAGGTTCACAGGCAATTCAGAGCAACTGTGTGAACGTGTTTTCTCTCCTGGACATTTGTATTTTTTCCCTTTCTTTTTCATAGGAGAAAATGGGTACTTTATGATCTCCAGTTTGCTCCACATTGGGTAATTTCTTCCATTGTTTGAATGTGAGTCTTTCTTTTTCCCCTTTGTGAAGGCAAATATGAATTCAAAGGTGAGGTGTATAGAATCCAAGAAGATTCTGGAATCCCTATGCTGTGCTGTCCAGTATAGTTGCCACCCATGTGTAGCTATTAGGATTAAAATTTTAAATAAATATAATTTAAAATTTAGATCCTTGGTCACACCAGTCACATTTTAAGTAGTAAATAACCACATGCGGCCAGTGGCTACAATGCTGGACAATGCAGATATAAAACGCTTCACCATCACAGAAGCTACTACTGGACAGCACCTACATTCCTAATGAATCAGAGCTTATTCAGGATTTGTCAAGCCACATCCAGAAAGTTTCAGAGTGTGAAAGATTGAGAACTAGGCCTTATTAATGTTGGCTGACAGCACTGCATTGAGAATTAAGGAAATAAAAAAAAAATCAACTGTACAGATTATAGTGATACTGAAAATAATAATCCATATGTTGCAGTAAAGCTCATAAATTGTTTCAAAGTTAAAGCCTTAAAAAATGTATCACAAACTTTCTTACCAGTATACTGAACAAGTGATACAGTCATGTGTCACATTATGTTTCTGTTTCAATCAATGGCAGACCGCATAAATGACAGTGATCCACCATATAGCCTAGGTGTGTAGTAAGTGATACCATCTAGGTTTGTGTAAGCACACTCTATGATGTTCTCACAATGACAAAATCGCCTAACAATGAATTTCTCAGAACATACTCCCATTGTTAAGGGGGGCATGGCTATATAGCAGAAAATAAATCTTAAGAACAAAAGATGAAGGTTTTCTTGGAGAATGAAATCTAAGTGATGCCTAAATACCAACGAGGAGCTATGTATGTACTCAACACATAATGTCAAATACTTCATTTGTTAATAATCAGAGTCTGCCCTTTTTTTTTTCCATATTATAAGTTCTGCATATATCAGGCTTGACTACTTTCTTTCATTGCTAGCTAGTCGAATTCCAGTGCTTCAGTGTTGAGACTGTATGTCCTAACTGCTGGTATGGTGGGAAAGAAACCTCAGCAAGATTAAATGAAGTCATTCTTTCTTCCTTAGTAGTTGCCCAAAACCAACAGTACATTGCATCATAAAACTGTCCTTAAAAATGTTATTTATAACAAAGGAGTCTTATAAGATACCCACGTTTCAGAGATTGTTGCTATGTCCTATAAAAGTAAGTTTTAATCTCCAAATTTTAATTGGCTTTCTTCCTTACTAATGTGTTCTCGTGGTAGTAATAGTTAAATGCACATCTGTTTTTTTAGAGTATTTGTTCACACAGATGTTCTGTTAAGCCAGAAGATATATGACACTTTCCTCTCCTCTCATAAGCATATAAAAGTAATAACACTATGATTTTTCTGGATATCTGATTATAAAAGAATTTAATAGTGATCAGTTAAATTAACAGAGACCATACAAAACATGTAATGCACATAATGTAAACTAATTCCAGTTTCAGATGATCATATTTAATCAATAACTTATGCTAATTGATTTGATATGGATTTTTTTATAAGTCCTGTCAAATTAAAATTCAATTCAACTTTAAATTTATTATGCACCTACATGCAAGTACTACAGGAAAAACAATGAGTCAACAATTTATTATACATACTTATAAATCAATGCCCATAGAATGGTTTCCAATCATTTTCTATCAAATAGAATATAATTTAAATATAAACTATAATATATTACAATAATAAAGTAACACTGATAATGTTTAATATATATTGAATATACTGAACACTTAATATGTGCTAGATATTATGCACTTTACATCCTTTATCACTTTTAATTCTCCTAACAACCTCATGATGGAGATATATTTATAATCCCATTGTTCACAGGTGAGGAAATGGAGGCACAGAAAGGTTTAATAATTTTACAGTTAGAAACCTGAGAAGACAGAAAGGAGAAGGTGGTTTCCAGGGACTGGGAGTGTGCGGGGTGGATGGGTAGTTATTTGTTAATGGGTATAGAGTTTGCTCTACAAGATGAAAAGAGTTATCAAGCTGGATGGTAATGATGGTTGCACAGCATTATGAACCTACTTAATACCACTGAACTCTCCACTTAAAAATAGTTCAGATAATAAATTTTGTTATATATATTTTACCACAATAAAAAATTACAAAAGAAATCCAAGACAAAGAGGAATGATTCTGTGCTATTGTGATTTATAATAAGAAATATATCTTTGATCACCAAATTCCTGACATATAGTTCTCAAAGCCTTGGGATTTCCTAACAGTTAAGAGCATGAAGGTGTCTTTTGTTATTATAGTTATAACAAGTTCCTTTCAACCAAACCTGAGTTTATGTCAGTGAAGTGACTTTTGGAATGCCCCTAAGAATGGGGGCTGGCTGCCAGAGAAACCAACCAAATGATCAGCGGGTTGGAACTTTTAGTCCCACTTGCCTCCCCTTCAGGGAGGCAAGAGGCTGCAGGTTCAATCAATCACTAAGGGCCAATGATTTACTCAATTGTGCCCCCATAATGAAACCTCCATGAAAACCCCAAAAGGCTGGGTTTGGAGACCTACCGGGTAGGTAAGCATGCCAGGAGGGTGGTGCACCCTAGTTCCACAGGACAGAAGCTCCTACGCTCAGGACCCTTCTGAACCTTGCCCTGTGTACCTCTTCATCTGGCTGTTCATCATCTGTATCCCTTATAATAAATTGGTAAATGTAAGTAAACGTTTCTCTGTGTTCTGTGAGCTGCTCTAGCAAATTAGTTGAACACAGGGAGGGGGTTGTGGGAACCTCTGATTTACAGCTGGTTGGTCAGAAGCACAAGTGACAACCTGGACTTGCAATGGCTCCTGAAGTGGGGGCAGTCTTGTGAGACTGAGGATCTGATGCTACCTCCAGGTATAGAGTCAGAATTGGACTGAATTGTAGCAAACCCGGCTGGTGTCACAGAACTGCCTGGTGTGGAGAAAAACTACCATACCTTTGGTGATCAGAATGTCAGAAGTAAAGGATTGTGTGTTAAGAGGAGACATGAAAGGAATGTGTTCCCTCCTCCAGATTCACAACTGGAAAGCAAATAGGAAGGGGAAGAGTTATAAAAAAATGGAAGGAAGGTGACTCCAGGATAGTTTGAAAACACTTCATTCCCCTCAAGTTCCAAGGCACTCTCCTCACAACAGACAAGGACATGTCCTACTTTAGTACCGTAACTGTTCAATTCTAATTCTAAAGTAAAAAAAAAAAAAACCATACCTGAGGTGAGAGAAACTTTTCAATGCGTTTGGCTATAAAACCTTTCTCCAATATGGAGTTGACTGATGGTCTATCCATAGGATTTCTTTTAAATAACTGAGAGAGCAAATTGCGGAGATCGTAAGAATAATGCAAAGACACGGGTGGACAAGATCCCGATATTATCTTTAGTACCAGATTTTTCATATTGCCAGCTTCAAACTGAAACCCAGAAAATAAATTAACATATATAAAACATACATTAACTGAAAATGGGAATGTCAACAATGAGAAACAGTTCTTTACCTAGCCATACAGAACAGAAATATAATCCTCTTCCAGATATTTTAATCAGCATATGTTCTCTAGAGCAACATTTACTTGGTTCTTTATAAACATATTTAAAAGAGAATATCAAGGGCCGCCTGAGTGGCTCAGTTGGTTAAGAGTTAGCGTACGAGCGCGAGCTCTAAGCAATAGGGCCACCGGTTCGATTCCCACATAGGCTAGTGACGCTGCACTGGAACTGAGCTGCTGTTGAGCTGACGACAAGTGGCAGGATGGCTCAGCTGGTGAGAGCATGTGCTCCTAACTACAAGACTGCCTGTTCGATGGTGGGCTATGCCCACCCGCAACTAAGACTAAAGTTGGCACCTTGAGCTGAGCTGCCACCCATATGACTCAGTGGATAGAGCGTGCTCTTAACAACAAGGCTGCTGGTTCGACTCCCACATGGGATGGTGGCTACACCCACCTGCAACGAAGATTGTAACACAGCACCTTGAGCTTAGAGGCCACGAGCTGCTGAAAGGGAAGCCAGATGGCAACTGGCACCCTCCACAACAAAGATTGAAGAACAACAACTTGTCTGTTCCCCTTGCCCAATTCCCCAACACTGTTCCCCTGCCCTATTTCCCCATTTAAAAAAATAAATAAATAAAATAAAAATAAAAATAAAAGAGATTATCAGTTCTCATAATACATTATAACTTGCTATAAGACTTTTACTTATTTAAAATGCTAAAAGATGGAATATACATATTAAAGATTTTATAAAACCATAACAATACTCAAGATGGTAAAACAAACAAAACTGATGATCTTCATTTAAGACCTGCCTTCCTGTGGCCCTGTTGTTGGAGTAACTAGAACAGGAAACTACAGAACTAAAAGTACTGGGGTGAAAGATAATAAATAAATGTACTAATTAGTTTCCTTTCAACACTGCTCAAAAAGCCATGAAATCAACAATGTAGTGACCATTCCAAACGGGAATATAAATCGTACCAATGGGAATATTATATATTTTAGGATTAAATATAAACTCTTAACTGAAATAAAAACAACAACAAAAACTAGACATGGGGCATCTTAAAACCTAAAGATTTCATTTTGAAAGTAAGTACAATTAAGCATTGACACCTCAGCTAAAATAGTATAGAACAGTTGTACACTATCAATATGTTCTTAATATCTACATTAAGTTTTGGTATACATTAGGTATTGGTGATTGTACCAATTATAAAAGAGTTCTGTTAAATGTTGAATTCTCCTAGCACATTTAAAATATGTCATTCAGTTTATTAAAACTTGAATACAATTCAATTGTCTAGAAATATCTATGTACCTAAGATGGAATCCTAAATGCAGAAAAATATGTTACTCTATTCCTTATTATAAAGAATTTTCATTTCTCTCTCAACTGACAAACTTCATAAATAAAGGTTAAGTGAATTACTTAATTTCATATTCCAATTAAAAGTAAACACTTCCAAAATGCAGAATGTTGACAGTTAAGGTAGATGAAAAGATTTTTTTTAAAATACACTGATTTAGGGGCCAGCTGAGTGGCGCAATGGTTAAGAACTGGCTTGGGACGCCAGAGGGCCCTGGTTTGGATCCCACATATGAGGGCCAGTGACACTGCCCTCCATAGCTAAGATGCTGAACAACAGTTCAACCTGGAGCTGGGCTGCCATGAGTCGCCTGCGACAGCGTAGGCGGCAGCCC